AACCGGAGCAGACTAGAGCCGCACACCCAAACTGCCTGAGCTGCCTGAGCGGCGCCTCGCGTGAGCTGCAAGCTGCACCGAGTGTGGAGGCCAGGGCCAGGGGCGGAAAGCGCCCACACAGCGTCCGTGCCGTGTCGACCCTGGCGTTGGTTCCTGACACCGCGCTGGATCGTTCAACCTTGAACGATCGGCCGTCTCCGCAACGTCCGATCGTTCAACATCGACCGATTCTGGGCCGCCGTCGGCGTTCAACGTTGAACGTCGGCGGCGGGGTCGCCGCCGGTCGACACGACGCGAACCTACCGCACACAGCGTCCATGCAAGCATGGCGGTGGCTGCCAGGAGCCGGCGGAGCGACGCGCGGAGCTCAAGCTCCCGAGTGCGCAGCCTCGTCCGACGGCCCGCGCAGCCTCCCCGTGCCACCGCCCAGGGCGCCCAGGGCCCCGTGCACGCTTCGGGCTCGCGCGCGCCTTCTCTCAAAACGGAGAGGAAGGGAGCGAGAGGAGGAGGAGGAGGAGGAGGAGGAGGAGGAGGAGGAGGAGGAGGAGGAGGAGGAAAAGGGAGGAGGAGAGGAGGAGGAGGAGGAGGAGGAGGAGGAGGAGGAGGAGGGGGAGAGAGGAACGCAGGGGCGCTGCCTTCTCGAGACGGTCGGGAAAAAATGCACAACGTCCGAGCGCTGCCAACCGGGTCCTCTGGGGCACGCGAGGGGGGGGGGGGGACCGCGGCCTCTCCCCCTCGCCGGCCGGGGCTCCCCGCCCCGCGGCTCCTCGCGCGGCGCCCCGAGGGCCGCCGGGCGGGGCGCCGTCTTGTCGACCAGCAGCCTCGGGAGCAAGGGGGGGGGGGGCTGGCCGACCAGGCAGCCCTCCCTCCGGCTCCTCCTGGACAGATTTCTTGCTTGGTCTAGAATAAAAAGAAAAATGAGAAGAAGAATAAGAATAATAATAATTCATAAAATATTAATAAGAATAAGAATAATGAGAAGAAGAAGAAGGAGAAGAAGAAGAAGAAGCGGCACAAACAGAAACTCTTGGCGCTCCGCGCGGATTTGTGGGATCTGTGCCGGAGCCCCCTCCCTGGAGCGCGGAGCGCGCCAGGGGCGGCGCCGGAGGCGCCGCCTAGAGGGCCCCAGCGCGGATCCAAGAAACCCGCGCGGACCGCCAAAACTCTATGTTTGTGGCGCTTCTTCTTGTCGATTGTCAGCGAGAAAGTCCGGGTCTTCCGCTGGGGGCGCCAGGGGGGGGGGGCGGGGCGGCCGAGAGCCTCCCCTCCTCGCCCTGGGCAGCCCCCCGCAGGACCGCGCGCACCAGTGCTGCATGCCGCCCCTGGGGCCCGGCCGGCGCACGCGGCACCGCCAAATTCTCCGGACAGGGCCCGATGACTACAGAGGCCTCCCAGATGGGGTCCAAATGGATGGGGTCGAAGGATCGCGACACATCGCCGAAGCGTCGCCAGTGCATCGGCGATGCATCGGCGACGTCGGTGTGGCGGAACGCGGACTCCACATCGAGCCGCATCGGCGACGCATGGGTGATGCGGCGCGATCCTCCGACCCCATCTGCTCCGACCCCATCTGAGAGGCCTAGAATAATAAGGGCTATCGCCAGACCGTTTAAAACACAATCACCTCATGCTCCTCCTGTTCCACGCTTGCACAATCTAAGTTTGGTGGGGGAAGAGAGCGGAGCGCGACCACTCAAGTTCACGCGGCTCGGCGCCAACCGCTGTGCGGATCAAATGATGGCCAGGCAAACCGGGATCCCGACGCGAGCCGACCTGCGATACAGCAACTACACAGTACGAATACTGCGCTCCTCTCCCCGGAAGGCGTCCTGGCCCTGCGCAGTAGCTTTCTCTACACTCGAGGTTGGTACGAGTTGTCTGTTGCTTTGTCGTGCGCTTTTTCTGTAAGAGCTCCCGCTGCAGCTCTGGCCTCGAGCGTCGATGCAGACGACCCCGTTTCTGAAGGGGAACTGGGACACACAAATAAATACACACAAATAAACAGATTCCCCATATTTTCCCGTATTTTCTGGGTTTTCGTCTTCCCCCCCAATTCCCATATTTACCTAACAGCGAAGACTGATAGGCCTCTAGTCGGGTCAAGAGCATCACGACTCCCCAGGGGGGTCTGGGCGGCATCCGGGGGAAAGCCGGCGGCTGCCGTCGGACCCCAAATCGCCGGGGACGTCCTCGCAAAATCGCTCCTGGCGGTCCCAGAACTCCACTGCCGGGCTACATCTTAGATGCCCGGCGCCAGCTGTGCTCCCAGAACTCCACTCCCGGCCCACACTTTGTGTGCCAGGAGCCAGCTGTAGGCCACTTCGTGTTCTCCGGGCCACATTTCGGATGCCCGGAGTCAACTGTAGGCCATTTCGTGCTCTTGGACTGCTTAGAACCCCATTCCCGGGCTCTATTTTGGATGCCCGGAGCCCACTGTAGGTCATCTCGTGTTCTTCGTCCTTTTACTGGCAACCGACTTTTCCTCTGCCTCTGATAGCCGCGGTTGGTTCAAAACGCTCCTGCCTCGTGGCCTTCGCCGGCGGCATTGCAATGGCACTCGCCTCGCCGCAACACTCGTCAGCAGCCTCGGCTTCTCGCGGTGCTTCTCAGTCTGCGAGGGCAGACCGAGACGCGTCGGCGGCCGGTGCTTCTCAGCCGCCAGGGAAGACCGAGCCTCGTCCGCGCCTGCTGCGGCTGAGGCAAGCTGATGCTGAGGCAGGCTGAGGCTGAGGCTGAGACTGAGGCAGGCTCAGGCTGAGGCAGGCTGAGGCTGAGGCCGAGGCTGCAGGCAGACTGAGGCTGAGGCTGAAGCAGGCTGAGGCTGAGGCTGAGGCAGGCTGAGGCTGAGGCTGAGGCTGAGGCAGGCTGATGCTGAGGCAGGCTGAGGCTGAGGCTGAGGCTGATGCAGGCTGAGGCTGAGGCAGGCTGAGGCTGAGGCCGAGGCTGAAGGCAGACTGAGGCTGAGGCTGAAGCAGGCTGAGGCTGAGGCAGGCTGAGGCTGAGGCAGGCTGAGGCTGAGGCTGAGGCAGGCTGAGGCTGAGGCTGAGGCTGGCTGAGGCTGACTGAGGCTGAGGCTTGAGGCTGTGAGGCTGCTGAGGCTGTGTCTGTGAGGCTGAGGCTGAGGCTGTGACTGCGACTGCCGTTGCCACTGCGACTGTCATCGCGAATGCGACTACGACTGCGAGAACAGCAGAATTCTACAACTGGATTCTCATCTGAATCTTAAGGGGAATGCTTCCAGATATGCTCCTACACATCGCTGTTAGGTTGCTTTGCCGGGATAATTTCCTATATTTTCTGGGGAATCGACGATTAATTGTGTCTGTGTGTTTTTTCCCCTCCTGAGTTTCTTCCGTCCCCGACATCCTCCGCTCTGACTTTTTCGATCCGCGGCCCCAGAGATCCGCGATCCCTTCCCAGGGGGCAGTCTTGCGGCCCGGACCAATTTGTGCGACGGCTCCCTGGCCCTGATTGATTGATAGCGGGCCCCAGGAGGCCGACGTCCAGGAATGAAGGGGGCCCTGGGACACACAAATAAATACACACACATAAACAGATTCCCTATATTCTCCCATATGTTCTGGGTTTCTGTCTCCCCCCCAACTTCCCATAGTTTCCCATATTCTCCTGGGAGTCGACGATCAATTGTGGCTGTGTGTTTTTATCCCTCCTGAACCTGGGGCGGCGGAGACGGGGGACGAGGGTGTCTGCTTGGTGTCTCCCCCTGGCCACGGCTGCGCCTCGGCCACCAGTAACACAAAAGGCTCCCCGGGACCCAGCCCTGAGGAGCGGCTCGGGGGCCAAGAGGGGGGCGTCCAAGAGGGGGGGGTGTAAATCATGACCGGCGGCATGTGCGCGGCCCAAGGGGGGGGGCTGGGGACGTAATGAAACAAGAAGAGGCGCCATGAAATCTGGGGAAATATCATGGCCCACGCCATGATATCCACCCCCCCCTAGTCATCACCCCCCTCTTTGCCGACCCCGAGAGGAGCGGCCCGGGGGCCCAGGGGCTACCAGACGAGGCCAGGGCCGGGGCAGAGTCGGACCGGGGTGAATCAGTGATCTCTGAGACCTGGCGGCTCTGGATGATGAGCAATCGGGGCGTTGACCTAAGGAACCCTAAATAAAGAGTGAGACCCTTTTTTTCCGTAAGGATAACCTGAGGCAAACTGCAAAACAATCAAGGAGCACCGAGCCCCTCCCCAACGAAAAGGTTTCCTTCTTCAGCGCCCAGCCTGTATCGGGCACCAGGGACGTTCCAGAGTGCCCAGATCCCCGACGACATGACTTTTTTCATCCGGCGGTGCTTCCTGGATTTCGGCGTGCGGGAGCCCGTTCTTCTTTGGCCCGGGGCCATCAAAAACTTGATCCCGGGCGCAAGCCCTCTCCCAGGGAAGGCGTCGGGACCTCCCGTGGGGTCGCGGATTGAAAAAAGAGAAATCGGCGGATGTCAGGGTCTGGGGGACGTGTTGGACACTGGGGACTTTGGGTGACCCAAAAGGGGGGTCCAGCTGACAAGGGGTGGTGCAATAGATTTGGAGTTATTGTATTGCAAATGTACTGCGCCAGAGAATTGCTCTGCATTGTATTGCAAGTACTGCGTTGCACGCGACAATCCAGCAATACACTTGCGACCCAGACCCCAGAATGTATTGCACACCCTAGACATACTGCAACCCCACAAACGTATTGCACAAAGTCTATTGCACCACCCCTTGCCGTCGCTCGGACGTCCATTTCCCGTGCATTCTTCGGCTTCGTGCGTGTTTTTGTGTGCTCGATGGTCCAGGATGTTCCTCGATGGTTCTCTCCGAAAAAATGCACACGTCCGAGCGATGCCAAGACCCCCTTCTCGCTGGACCCCCTTTTGGGTCAACCCGCGGGACGTCCCAGAGTACTCTGGGACGCTTGGGGAGAACGCTCCTGGACGCAATGGGGCGACGCATCCAGGCCCTCGGTACGCCGGGAGGGCCCCGGCCTGCTCCCACCGTGAATCTACCCTGACCCTGCAGAATCCTGCAAGATCCAGCGCTCCTCCTCCTCCTCCTCCTCCTCCTCCTCCTCCTCCTCCTCCTCCTCCTCCTCCTCGCCTGTTTCTTCTTCCTGCACCTCCTCCTCCTCCTCCTCCTCCTCCTCCTCCTCCTCCTCCTCCTCCTCCTCCTCCTCCTCCTCCTCTTTCTCCTCCTCCTCCTCCTCCTCCTCCTCCCCCTCCTCCTCCCCGTCTCCTGAGCCCCGATCTCTGGGTGGTCCTTCCTGTCGGCGTCTCGACTGTGCGTCGCTTCGCCCGGCCCCCGCGGGCCCCTTCAGCGGCTCCACGCCCGCCGCGGCGGCGGCCGGCGGGGGCGCGGCTGGATCGCCCTGCGCGTCGTCCGGCCGCCTGCGGCGCTTGTGCTTCACGGAGGCCCTCGCCGGGGCCAGGGGCGGGCAGGGGGGAAGGGGGGGAGAAGGAAAAGGAGGGCGAGAAGGAGTGGGCTCCTGGGTTCGGGGGGAGGGGCTCCTGGATGTCTTGAGGGGGGGGGGCTCTTGGGAGGCGCTGCTGGCTCCTGGATGTCTGGGGGATGGGGGCTGGAGCTTCTGGCGAGTTTTCTGCTCAGCAGGTTCCTGGAGGAGGAAGGTAAGGGCTAGGGGCTAGGGAGTCCCAGGTGGTGCATGCGAAAGGGGGAGGCAGGGGGGAGTGGGTTTCGCCAGGTTCGAGGATCAGGGGAGATCAGCGGGCCCCAAATGGGTGGATCGGTTCGTGTCGGGTCGGGTCGGCAAGACGCTGGCTCGCGCGGTCGAGTCGGGTCAGGTCGGGCCTTGACTCAGGCGCTCGGGTGGAGCGCTTTGCAAATCTAGCTGGCACATGTTCGCTGGTCATCCCTATGTGATCCCCGATGTTGCCCGAGTTCAGGGCAGCTTGCAGCCCAGTTGGGCCAACGCTCATGCTCGCCATGGATATACCCGCAGAGCGGGCCCGCACTTCACCAAAGGCGCGTGCCGAACCTGGGCTGCTTCTTAGCTCAGCGTCTTGACTGTGGCCCATGGCGCGCAAGCCCATCCGAAGAGGCCCGCGCGAGATCTCTGTTGACTTTGCAATATGAAGAGGCACTCGGCTCTCGCTGGCTTCTCGGGTTCCACATGTGGCGGTCATTCTTCAGTCGGGCGGACTCGAGTCGTTGGGTCGATCTCGAGGAGCTCGAGGAGCAACCTCGCAGAAGCCCATACCGACCGCCTGCCACTCTGGTGCTGAAGCTCTGAGTGGCGCCGTTGTGTGCTCGCCCAACCACCTTGTGAGCGTTTCATTATTCGGCATTTCGACATTGGGCGGAGGGGGGGGGGGAGGGGGGGGGTCTGGCTCCGGACCTCTGCTTAGTGCGACTGTTTGCAGCAGTGGGTCGTATGAGGGGAGGCTCCACCAGCCTGGAACAGGCCCCCAAAACATCTACTCCAGGGGGTGGAGGGGGGTGCGAGGGCCCGCGCCGATCGGCAAAACAATTAATAAAAAACGATCACCTGCCTCTCTGGTGCTGAAGCTCCGAGTGGCGCCATTGTGTGCTCGCCGAACCACCCTTCAGGCATGCCCTGCCCTCGCACGAGTTGCTCTGGCCCAGACTGCAGGGTTTCTCCGAAGGGCTTAGGCGGCCCGTCCTCCTCCTCCTCCTCCTCCTCCTCCTCCTCCTCCTCCTCCTGCTTCTCCTCCTCCTCCTCCTCCTCCTCCTCCTCCTCCCTCTCCTCCATCTCTACCTCCCCCTCTCCCCCCTCCCCCTCCTCCACCTTCTCCTCCTCGTCCTCCTACTCGGGTCCCCAGGGGAAACAGTGCACCCCAGACTGGCCCCCCGATCCAAAAGGCACGCAGGCCAGACGGAGGGGGAGGTTGGAGGCTTGGACATGGGCACCAGCACCAACACAGGGGGCTGCCTCCACGGGGGAGAGATGGCCCCAGATTCTGGTGTTAGTGGTCATGTTTCGGCCACCTAGGAAACCAGAATATTGACACCATCACCGAGATCGGGATCATCTTCCCTCGGTGGAGGCACACCGCCAATATTGGTGTTGGTGTCAACCTCTAGGCCTGCGAGGAGGGTGCGAGCACGACAAGCGACCATTACCATAACGACACCCTGTCCTCTGGAAAACTCTGGCCGAGCACCACACGCGCACCAGACGTCCACGAGTCGTGCTCCTCTGCGCCTCGTTCGGCACCTGGCTTCCTCCCCGAAGGTGTGGAGTGCGTTCGCCCCTTGGTGCACTCGTGCCCCCCCCCCCCGGGCGAGGAGAAGACAAGAAGGGAGACAGATAACGTGACAACAGGAAGTGAGAGGGAGAGCAACACAAGCAGCAGGAGGAGGGGAGAAGCAGGGCAGGGAGGACGAGGGGGATGGTGATGGAGGGAGGGGAAGAGGAGAAGCGGAGGGGACCACCCTGCTCTGGGGCGTGGGCACAACAAATCCAACTGGAGGGCGGGGTCACAACGCGAAGCCATACTTAGCTGGTTATGGTAGTCTTCGATTAAGCGCCCCAGGTTCGCCCAATCGACTACAACCAGCACGAAATCAAGAGCGAGAAGGCGGAGGAGGAGGAGAAGGAGGAGGAGGAGGAGGAGGAGGAAGAGGAGGAAGACGGACGAGGAGAAGGAGACGAGAGGGGAGGAGGAGAGAGGAGGACGAGCGGCAAGATGCGAGGAGGTGAGGGTGAATTCAGGGGGGAAAGATGCGGAGGAAGAGGAAGGATAGATGCGGGAGGAGGACGGGAAGAAGGAGACGACAAGAGGAGATCAAGCGTGCCCAACGGGAGACGAGAAGAGAAGGAGGAGAAGGAGGAGGAGGAGGAGAAAAAAGAAGGAATAATGGAAGAGGAGAACAAAGACAACGAAGGGGACAATTCATAGAGCGTGCTCGACGGGGAAACTGTGGAGGCGAGAGGAAAACATGAAGAGGAATGCAACAACAGCAGCACGCAACAATGACCCTAGGCGCCCAGGCAAGAATGACCTTTGGTGCGCGGCTCGAGGGTGGGGGGCGCCGAAGGGGGCGGGGGGCCGGGGGGCAAACTCGAAGCGCGAAAGCGGCCGCTGTCGCATCGCGCTCAGCGATCGGGGGACGCCAGTGCGCCCGCACCATAGGCCACTCCGCCTGTCAAAGGCACGCACCTGGGAAAATACCCTTGCGAAGGACCCAGCCATATGCAGTTGTGAACACCGCCGTTGTAAGAACTGCCTTCGGTGGAGCTCCCTATGGGCTCGAAACGCGCGAAGGGTGCGCCGCAATGGGGCGGGGCCGCCATGCGAGCGCTGCCGCTGGGGGCCCTTGGTGGAGCTCCCGATGGGGCCACGAAATGTGTGAGGCGTGTGTGCCAAAGTGGAGGAGTGGCGGCATGCGAACCATGCCACTGGGGTCTTCGGTGGAGCTCTCGATGGGGCCACGACACGTGCGAATGGTGTGCCAAAGTTGAGGGGGGTGGCATGTGAACCATGCCGCTGCGGCCTTCAGTGGAGCTCCCTGTAGGGCCGCGAAACATGTGAGGGGTGTGCCAAAGTATAGGGGGGCGGCGTGCGAACCATGCCACTGGGGCCTTTGGTGGAGCTCCCAATGAGGCCACGAAATGTGTGAGGTGTGTGCCAAAGTGGAGGGGGGGCGGCATGCGAACCATGCCACTGGGGCATTGGGTCAGCTCTCGATGAGGCCACGAAACATGTAAGGGGTGTGCCAAAGTGTGGGGGTGGGAGGGGAGGAGGGAGAAGGGGGAGGTGGGGAGGAGCAGGAGGAGGGGGAGGAGGAGGGGAGGAGACGCAAGGACTGCCTCTTCAAAACGAGGACTCAACACCATAGGACGGCTGGGAAAAATGTGAGCCTCCGGCTGGGTTCGTTTCCTGATCCTACCACAGGACAACCTCCCCTCTGCGGACCCCCTTCTCTCTTGCGCGCAGTCAGCCGGGCCGCCTCTGGAAGAGCACTGTTCACTCACGGCGATAACGGGCGTTGTTGGGGAGGCGAGAGGAGGGCACAGCGCCACGCCCGCGCCCCCCACCGGGCCGCCTCTAGAAAAGCACTGTTCACTCATGGCGACAACGGGCGTTGTGTGGGGGGGGCGAGGGGAGGGCACAACGCCACGCCAGCGCCCCCCCACCGTCACAGACTGCGGTGCCGAGCGCTCTGCGGGGCAATGCTGAAGGTCGCACTGGGCGGGAAGGAGCACTGCGTTGCGGGGGAGGGGGAAAGGGGGGGGGGGAGGGCGGGGCACAACGCGCGTAGTGGCCCAAAGGGTAGCAGAAGAAACTCCCGTGGACTCGTGCGAGGCCCTCACCCATCCCCTGCCCGATGGGCGCCTCGCCCGGTGGGCGTCCGCACCACAGGTTCCCTCCACGAGGGGGACGAGTGGCGGAGTTCGAGTTCGAGGTTCCCTCCACGAGGGGCTCGAGGCGCTCAGATGAATGTGTCCATTTGGGAAGCCTCCTGTGGCGTCCCTGGTCCTGGCAAGCGCGAAGGTGCCAATCTGATTTCCCACATCTTCTCACGCGTGCAAATGAGCACAACTCTTTCTGCTTATGTGTCCTCTCGGGTGCACGGCTTTGTGTCTGTGTCTGTGTCAGGCTTTACGCTTTACTCGACCTCTGGAGACTGGTGGGCGGGCAGAAGGCTAGGCCGAACAACATCGGGAAGGAGGAGTCGCGCGAACTGTCTTTGACCGCCGTCCTTTGGGGCTGTGGGCCCGGGCGAACCATAGCCAGATTCCAAGCTCGCTCGCGTGTGCATTCTGCTGCCTCCCACAATCAGGGGGATGGGCAGACGTCCGTCGACTACGACTACATCGCATCGCAGCACCTCGGTGGTGTCGTTTCTCACTGCGCCTTGCTCTGAGCGCGGGAAGGCGAGGGGGGCGAGGCAATGCGGCGGCATCGGCAGCCGCACTCCAGCGCCTGCGCGCAATGGGGGGGCAACGGATCAGGTAGCCAGACAGGAGCGCCCGGCCTTGGAGGTCCCTCTGGAGGCCCGAAGACGTCCGGGTCGTCAGCCGCGAGGTCCTGTGGAATCGCCGCTGGGAGGTCGCATCGCTCCGCGTGCAGCACCAAGAGGAGACAAGAGGCGAGCACGCTGGCGTGGAAAAAGCGAAAGAGAAAGGAGGATGGCTGGAGCCCGTGTGTTCATTCTTCGCGACATGGCCCGCGACCTGCCCAGCCCCCCACCATCACCCCCCCTGGTCACGCTGGTTCTTGCCAGGGGATACGGTAGGGGCAGAAGATTACAGTCAAAAGCCCTAATAAGGACGCGCGGCAAGGACGCCAGACCCTTAGCAGCCGAAGTTGGGGATTTTTGGGCGGCGGACGACGAAAACCTCAAGGACGCAAGAGCAAGGAAGAGCAAGGACGCGAGGGTACCCTGAGCAAAGTCGCGCGTCCTTATTAGGGTTTTGACTGTCGTGGAGGCCCCCCCGCTCTCCAAAACTCGAAGTTGGCAGGCGCGGGGGGGGGGCCGCGGTCGAAGTGCAACTCATCAGACCCTCCTCCTCCTCCTCCTCCTCCTCGTCGTCCTCCTCCTCCTCCTCCCCCTCCTCCTCCCCCTCCTCTTCCTCTTCCTCTTCCTCCTCCTCCTCCTCCTCCTCCTCCTCCTCCTCCTCCTACTACTACGACTACTACTACTACTACTACTACTACTACTACTACTACTACTACTACTACTACTACTACTACTACTACTACTACTACTACTACTACGACTACGACTACTACTACACTACTACTACTACTACTACTACTACGACTACGACTACGACTACGACTACGACTACGACTACGACTACGACTACGACTACGACTACGACTACGACTACGACTACGACTACGACTACGACTACGACTACGACTACGACTACGACTACGACTACGACTACGACTACGACTACGACTACTACTACTACTACTACTACTACTACTACTACTACTACGACTACTACTACTACTACTGCCAGTTTTGAACATATGCGGGGCAGGGGGAGGCGTCGACCGATGAATCTGGCATGCGTGTCCGCTATTTGTTCCGAGGCCTGAGCAACAGACTCCAGGGGGACGGCTGGGCCCACCCGAGGCAGCCCGAAATTCCGGCGCTTCCGCGAACCACAGAGAGGGTTCGCCATCGAGCCACCAAGCCCATTTGGGCCAGCTCCTCGGTCGCTGGAACCACGCCAGGACGAGGAGGAAGACGAGGAAGGTCGAGGAGGAGGAGAAGGAGGAGGAGGAGGCGGAGAAGGAGGAGGATGAGGTCCAGGAGTTGGAGGAGGAGGACCAGGAGTTGGAGGAGGAGGAGGAGGAGGAGGAGGAGGAGAAGGAGGAGAAGGAGGAGGAGGAGGAGGAGGGGCGACGAGGAAGTTGACGAGGACAGTCGAGAGGAAGAGGAGGAAGAGGGCGAGGAGGAGGGGAACGACGAGGACTTCAGGAAGAAAAAGCTCCCCTCTCAGACATCCGATGCCTTGGAGAAGCCACGACGTCGCGAAGAGATCGGCACAAGCGCTCGCGACCCCATCTTGATGAGGGGGGCTTCCAGACCGGGCCGATATGTCAGGATCCTGGTGCCCAAAGCGAGCGCAAACCCAGACATCTGACGTCGAGATGCGTCAATCGGTGAACTCCACAACTCTCCGCCTTGTATGCTCATTATGGGGACCTTCCTGGAATCGCGCACTCGTGCGTCGAAGTTGCGTCGAAACTCCGTCGACTACAGTCGGCCTTGAGTCGAACCTGAGTCGAACTTGAATCGGATGTGAATCGAACTTGAGTCGAACTGCGGTCGAACTAGCGTTAGGTGGGCCCCAGGAAGGTCCCCGAAACGAGCATCTAATCCAACCCCTCCCAAAGGCCCGTTCTTCGCCCAACGCTGTTTTTTTTACTGGCCCAGGGCCCGACAGCAGGCTTCTCAGAAGTCCTCTGGCCCTCTGGTTTGGACGCCCGAAATGGGTACGGAAAGAATGGGTACAATGCCCAACAACAAATGTTGCCCCAAACCAACAGCGGCCGCTGTTGGGCAGGCGGCCTTCTGTCTTGAATGGACACAGGCCGCGGCGGCGTGGACAGCGAGTCCTGTTCAAAATGAACAAGATCCGCTGTTGGGCATTGTACCCATTCTTTCCGTGCCCATTTCGTTCGCGCAGATCTGGGAGACCTTCGAACGAGGCTCCACGCCCTCTCCGAGAAGGCCCGTGCTCGCTCGGAAGACCACCCTCCCGGGGCCTCCCCGACCCGAGCCCGTTGAAGACGGAACCCTGCATGCACCCGCCTGTGAGCGTGCACTGGCCAAGCATGTAGCACACCCCATACATACGCAATGATCGCATCAACTACCAGCGCAATCCCTGCCTGCGCGCACCTGTCCACCGCAGCGCCCACATCGTAAAGAGCCGGATGGGAATGGTCTCAGCCAGTTGCCGCCGCCCTCTGAGAAGCCTTCTGTGAAGCCCCCGATCCCTCCCACGAGCCCCACATCCTTCCCTGATGGCCCTCGTTTCTGCAGCCCGTGCGGAACGCCAAGAAGCCTTGGAAACCCTGGAAACACTGGAAATCCTGGGTCGCATCATCATCGTCATCATCATCATCATCATCATCATCATCATCATCATCAGCATCATCATCATCATCATACTCATCGTCATCATCATACTCATCATCATCATCATCATCATCATCATCATCATCATCATCATCATCATCATCATCATCGTCATCATCATCATCATCATCGTCATCATCATCAGCATCAGCATCAACATCAGCATCAGCATCATCGGCATCATCATCAGCATCATCAGCATCATCACCATCACCATGATCATTACTTTTGGCGGCGCGCACAGGGGTATGGGGAAGGGGGGAACGACTTCTTCTTAGAAGGAGGCTGCTTCTTAAGAGGCGCCTTTTAGATAAGGCCCACGCCTTCTGAGAGACAGCCTCCTTCTAAGAAGCCTTCCCCCATCCCCCATACCCCTCCCTGCGACTTGCCGAGTCTCCTTGCTCCACCGAGCACGAGGCTCTCATGAGCTGCTGCCGAACGAGCTGGGGCCCACCACCAGCGCGCGCGCGCGCCGAGCGCGGCCCAGAGAGGCCCCCAGACCGAACAAACGCCACACAGAAGGCCCCACTGAGGAGAACAACTATCGTGTTGGGAGGAAGGGGTTGGGAGGATCAAGGGCATGAGCAATAGCATCCGGATGCAGTGAACGACATCCGTAGCACCCCGCAGTTGCGGATAAGAGGGGGCGGCGAGGACGTGGGCAGTCTGTGAGGCTCCGAAGAAGCCCGCCGTAGGCGCTTAACTTTTACAAATTATGCAGTGAGCCCGCCCCAGGATCCGATTTTTAGTTGTAAACCAATGTGGGCGGGTCGCAAGGTGGGTCGCGGGTGGGTCGTGAGTGGGTCGCGGGTGGGTCGCGGGCCGGGACGCGGGTTGGTCGCGGCCGGGTCGCGGAGTGGGTCGCCGGTGGGTCGCCGGTGGGTCGCCGGGTGGGTCGCGGGCCGGGTCGCGGGTGGGTCGCGGGCCGGGTCGCGGGGTGGATCGCGGGCCGGGTCGCGGGGTGGGTCGCGGGGTGGGTCGCGGGAAAGTCGCGGGTGGGTCGCGGGTGGGTCGCGGGGGGGTCGCGGGTGGGTCGCGGGGTGGGTCACGGTCGCGGGGTGGGTAACGGGTGGGTCGCGGGTGGGTTGCGGAGTGGCTCGCGGGGTGGACGGCGGGGTGGGTCGCGGGTGGGTCGCCGGGTCGGTCGGGGGGTCGCGGGGTGGGTCGCGGGGTGGGTCGCGGAAGGGGACGACACCAAACAACAACAACGACAACAACAACAACAACAATTACTAGCACGTGGGGACACTCCGTTCTCACCAGTGCCAGGGTTTTCATAGGAGGCGGGCAATACCCCCACTTTGTGGGGGGGCCGGTTCAAGCTCTACCAAATTTCCAAACGACTCTTCGCCACCACCCACACCCAGCTTCCCGCCCTATGACGTTCGGACACTTCACTTCGTGGCATGCGGACGACCGTGGCTACTATTCAGGGCCCCGCGGCCGACGACGACGGCGTGCGCGCGCGAAGAAAAAACGAATGTGTCCCGCATGGTATTATTTGACAGGGATGATGGCCCTGGCAGGTGCGCAACCGTTGTTGCAGAAGTTCGAAAAAGTTGCTCGCAAAAGCCCGTTTGACAGAAATGTTTAAAAAGTGTTGGGTTTCCTACGAATCCGCAAGAGCGCGCGGGATGAAATTTTGACAATTTTGTTTTGAAAAACCATTGGTTTTTTGATGTTTTTATGTTAAAATCGCTACGAAAACTAAGGTTTTGGAAGGATTTCGTCTTGCGCGCGCGAATGTCCACTTTACCTTATTTTTTGCAAGGGATTCTTGAAGTTTGGTTATGTTAGAACAAGAAATGTCCACTTTAGCTTATTTTTTGCAAGGGAAAACCGATCGTAACAACACAACCGGATCCGGACCAACCCGTTTTGCCTGAGACTTCCTCACGAAAATGATGAAAATGAGGCTGCGGCCTAGGCGCGGCGGGGGGGTCGTGCACCAGGGGCCCCAACAATAATTATTCTTTAGAAGTAATAATGTTCAACAACAACAACAACAACAACAACAACAACAACAACAACAACAACAACAACAACAACAACAACAACAACAACAACAACAACGCCAATTATCTTTAGCCACTTCGCTCTGATATGCTCGAATGTCCGTGAACGCGTATTTCCCAAACCCTCGATACTCGCCCTCTTCATCTTCGACCGTACCCCTTTTGGGGGGTAGACCGTTCTTCCCTGCAGGCCGGGCCCCGGCAAGCGGCGGGGCGGCCGCGGACCGTCGGCCTGGCCAGCGGCAGCGCTCATCGGCGGCAACCCGACCCCAAGAGGGACGGACAGGGAAACGATCACGACGACGACAACGACGACGACGACGACGACGTCGACGACGACAACGGCGACGACGACGACGACGACGAACGAAAGCGAGAGCGAGAGAGAGAACGACAGCAGGGCCACGCAG